GGGGTCAAAGGCCATGGTGAACAGGTGAGTTTTTAATGAAGACTTGTATCTGGATGTATGTTGGCGTGTGAAGCTGGAAGACAATGCAACACCAACAGAAACTCAGACGCTCTGATTATGAAATCTGTTCTACTTTAATTAAACCTTATTTTCCTGCCAAAAAACACGAGAATCAAAGTCTTTGTAGCAGATTCCCCGGACAGGTGGACGCCGAAACACACAAACACACGAGCTGCAGGAGCGTCTCTCAGGACGGGGGAGTTTGCAAAGGAAAATCACAAAGTTTGGATTCAGTTCATGAAAGTTCTCTGGATAAAGTAAACTCTTGATAAATATGTCTTCCACCGTAGATACCTTTTTCTGTGGTTTTTGCACACTTAAAGGTCCCCTATTCTCCTCCTCTTCATCAGTATATCACAGGTCGCAGATATATCCAGAGCCTGTCTCTGATTGGCTGAAACACCATCAGATGCATTGCAGCATTACCCATAACCCCCTCTGTTTCAGCCCTGTTTCCAAAGTGCTGATTCTCTGTCTGTTACTTTAGATGAAAATAAGGAGCCCCTCCCCACGCCCCTCTGAGAGAGATTTGGTTACAAAGAACTCAATGGTGCTCTAGAGGAGATTCAGGTGATAAGGGGGGGGGGGGGTTACCTTGTTGCTGATTGGCTAATGACTACACAAGACAACACATCATTATGACATCATAACGTGGCCAAAATCTGATCAGCTCATTTTCAGACAGGATTTATAGAAATGGATCAAAAAGAGAGAGAATCTTTGTTCCTGAAACTTTCAGAGTCTGAGATGTTTGTATTTGATTATATATGTTGCATCAATGGAGGAGCTCAGGTCAGAAGAATGTCATTGCCATTTCTACACTGTAGCTTATGAGCACATGACAACCTTTGAATCTTTGGATCTTATTTCCCGCCCACCTGTGTCGGTCCAGTGCGATGACGTTGAGCGTGACGGTGGACACGTGCACGGCGAGGCACTGAGCGTACGGCAGCAGGAAGCAGAGCGCCCCCCCGAACTTCCACTCGCCCTGCAGCGTGTAGACCAGCGTGAAGGGGAGACACAGCGTGTTCACCAGCAGGTCCGCTGACAGAGATTAAAAAACACGGGAGATACACACAGTTAATGTTTCAGTCCGCGCAGTGCGTAGACCAGCGTGAAGGGAAGACACAGCACGTTCAGCAACAGCTCCGCTTACATGGAAAAAACATGTGAAAAACACGGGAAAAGCAGAGTTAATGTTTCATTTCCTGCAGCCTGTAGACGAGAGTGAAAGGAATAATTCGGTATAATATTTATACAAAAACGCTTTGAAAGTGTCAAACATTAAGCAAAAGATCTTTATTTCTTTGTTCAGGGCGACAACTCTGAGGAATTGAAATCCTAGAGATGTCTCTGTGATACACACATCTTACATGTTGACACAATGCAGACATCACAGAGGAGACACTGATTACTGCTGACAGATGTTAGAGACACACACACACACACACACACACACACACAGATGTGTCTATACTCATCAGAGCCTGGAAATCCTCTCTGACATCCAAAGGACGTAGGAGAAAGGAGAGGAAGGTGTGTGTGTGTGTGTGTGTGTGTGTGTGTGTGTGTGTGTGTGTGTGTGTGTGTGTGTGTGTGTGTGTGTGTGTGTGTGTGTGTGTGTGTGTGTGTGTACGTACCAACAGCGAGGTTAGCGATGAAGAAGTTGGTGACGGTGCGCAGCGTCTTGAAGCGATAGATGACGTAGATCACCAGAGAATTACCCAGAACCCCCAGCACTATGATGGTGCTGTAAGCCAGGATCAAGACCACCTGAAGGAGGAGAGATTAATGTAGAAAATAGATTAAAGTATATAAAAATAATATAAACAAAGCAAAATGTAAATAAATGATTTTTAAATAACTAAAAATTCAAGTATAAGAAACATTTAAATATGTATACAAACATAGAGAAGTAAAATAAATATGTGCACAATATAATACAATTCCTTTAAAAAAAACGTTTAGTTTTTAGATTTAGTAACCACTGGAGCGTTGATACGACTTTATGTTGTAAATAATTACGTGTTTGTTGTAGGTTGAATCATGTAATCAAGCGTCTGTGAGCACTAAGAAAAGCGCTATAATACTTCAATGTATTATTATAATTATGTACCTGTACACTTGGCATTTTAATGGGGTCTTCTGGGAAAGGGAACCCCATGGAGGTGTCGCCGCCAACGGGTTTTCCGCCGACGATGGGGTCATTTTCCGGTTCGATGCCGGGGTCTTCGCCGGGGTTTTTGCCGGGGAATTCAAAGATACTGGGGTCACATGGGAAGGGCCAATGCGTCGCCAAAAACGTTTCGTTTGTGTCGTCCATGTCCGATCATTCGTGTTCAAGTGGCGATGCCATCGTACTCTCTCACACACACACACACACTCACACACACACACACACACACAAACACACACACACACACACACACACACTCTCACACACACCAGGCCTATTGGTACACAGAAGAACAGAAGTGAAAGTTAAAGTCATTTCCCTGGAAACTGCCGTCATTGTATTTTTTGGCCACTAGGGGGCAGACAGCACTATACTCAACATATTATCTCATTAAAGTGTTTAATATTTAAAATAATATTTTGAAGATTTATTTCTTCTCTTTTAAAGATGCAGTCATTACATGAATTATATTTGCATATTTTAGGTATAATACAAAATATATATATTGTGTTTATTTAGTGTTTTATTCTTAAAAATAGCTGTTAAAACATCCAGATTGAAGTCGCTGCGCCGAGACTTTAAACTGCTGTGCACAGGTGGGAAGATTTCACACCAGCTGTTGACACACACACTCTCACACACACTCTCTCACACACTCTCTCACACACACACACAGCTGTGACCTCTCCGTTTCACAGCTCTGTAGTCGCCAGTCTAACAGCCTCGGGGGGAAACAAACACACACACACATACTAAGAGGAAATGCAGGCACTCACAAACAAACTGCAGGTCACACACATGTGGGAACAAGCACACACACACACACACACACACACACACACACACACACACACACACACACACACACACACACACACACACACACACACACACACACTTCAGTGAGCTAAGTGTTGCCTTGGGCGTTCAGCTCTAATTCGCCACGGACAGGATCAGTGAGACTTGTTGCAAAAGTCACCTCTTACTAAACTGAAGAATGTATATGAGATGCATCAAGGTATGTCTGAAGGTCCTGGAGTGACCTACAAAGATAATCAAAAGAGCTTTTATTGAGCGTTAGAAAAGTGCAATCTTTTATATTACGCAACCTATTTACTCAAGAATAACAAATTAGAAAGAAAAAAAGATTAAAAAAATTCAGATGTCAGTATCCTGAGGCTCTGAGCCCCATTACCTTTCCTCAGGGACGGCAGAAAAAGTCCGACATTATATGATTTACAATAAAAACAATAATCGTGGCTTGATATTGAGTAAGAACATGTTTGTATGAACCCCACAGCTTCCGGTCTTCCACGACCCGAACGGACAAAAAGACGCAGGCACGAAACATACTACCAATAGAAATACATTGCTTTTCAAATAGTTCTACGAAAAAAAAGGGAAAATCGTGAACACGAATCAATAGACTACATGTCGTGACGATAACACGAAATGCAGTGAGACTGGGTTGAGTATGTAGTGTCTCTACTTTAAAGAGTCCTCTGCTGCTGATGTTCAGGTGTATATCAGTATGTAGTGTCTCTACTTTAAAGAGTCCTCTCCTGCTGATGTTCAGGTGTATATCAGTATGTAGTGTCTCTACTTTAAAGAGTCCTCTCCTGCTGATGTTCAGGTGTATATCAGTATGTAGTGTCTCTACTTTAAAGAGTCCTCTCCTGCTGATGTTCAGGTGTATATCAGTATGTAGTGTCTCTACTTTAAAGAGTCCTCTCCGGCTGATGTTCAGGTGTATATCAGTGTGTGGTGTCTCTACTTTAAAGAGTCCTCTCCTGCTGATGTTCAGGTGTATATCAGTATGTAGTGTCTCTACTTAAAGAGTCCTCTCCTGCTGATGTTCAGGTGTATATCAGTATGTAGTGTCTCTACTTTAAAGAGTCCTCTCCTGCTGATGTTCAGGTGTATAACAGTATGTAGTGTCTCTACTTTAAAGAGTCCTCTGCTGCTGATGTTCAGGTGTATATCAGTATGTAGTGTCTCTACTTTAAAGAGTCCTCTCCTGCTGATGTTCAGGTGTATATCAGTATGTAGTGTCTCTACTTTAAAGAGTCTCCTCTCCTGCTGATGTTCAGGTGTATATCAGTATGTAGTGTCTCTACTTTTAAAGAGTCCTCTCCTGCTGATGTTCAGGTGTATATCAGTATGTAGTGTCTCTACTTTAAAGAGTCCTCTCCTGCTGATGTTCAGGTGTATATCAGTATGTAGTGTCTCTACTTTAAAGAGTCCTCTCCTGCTGATGTTCAGGTGTATATCAGTATGTAGTTGTCTCTACTTTAAAGAGTCCTCTCCTGCTGATGTTCAGGGTGTATATCAGTATGTAGTGTCTCTACTTTAAAGAGTCCTCTCCGGCTGATGTTCAGGTGTATATCAGTATGTAGTGTCTCTACTTTAAAGAGTCCTCTCCTGCTGATGTTCAGGTGTATAACAGTATGTAGTGTCTCTACTTTAAAGAGTCCTCTCCTGCTGATGTTCAGGTGTATATCAGTATGTAGTGTCTCTACTTTAAAGAGTCCTCTCCTGCTGATGTTCAGGTGTATATCAGTATGTAGTGTCTCTACTTTAAAGAGTCCTCTCCTGCTGATGTTCAGGTGTATATCAGTATGTAGTGTCTCTACTTTAAAGAGTCCTCTCCGGCTGATGTTCAGGTGTATATCAGTATGTAGTGTCTCTACTTTAAAGAGTCCTCTCCTGCTGATGTTCAGGTGTATAACAGTATGTAGTGTCTCTACTTTAAAGAGTCCTCTCCTGCTGATGTTCAGGTGTATATCAGTATGTAGTGTCTCTACTTTAAAGAGTCCTCTCCTGCTGATGTTCAGGTGTATAACAGTATGTAGTGTCTCTACTTTAAAGAGTCCTCTGCTGCTGATGTTCAGGTGTATATCAGTATGTAGTGTCTCTACTTTAAAGAGTCCTCTCCTGCTGATGTTCAGGTGTATATCAGTATGTAGTGTCTCTACTTTAAAGAGTCCTCTCCTGCTGATGTTCAGGTGTATATCAGTATGTAGTGTCTCTACTTTAAAGAGTCCTCTCCTGCTGATGTTCAGGTGTATATCAGTATGTAGTGCCTCTACTTTAAAGAGTCCTCTCCTGCTGATGTTCAGGTGTATATCAGTATGTAGTGTCTCTACTTTAAAGAGTCCTCTCCTGCTGATGTTCAGGTGTATATCAGTATGTAGTGTCTCTACTTTAAAGAGTCCTCTCCTGCTGATGAACAGGTGTATATCAGTATGTAGTGTCTCTACTTTAAAGAGTCCTCTCCTGCTGATGTTCAGGTGTATATCAGTATGTAGTGTCTCTACTTTAAAGAGTCCTCTCCTGCTGATGTTCAGGTGTATATCAGTATGTAGTGTCTCTACTTTAAAGAGTCCTCTCCTGCTGATGTTCAGGTGTATATCAGTATGTAGGGTCTCTACTTTAAAGAGTCCTCTCCTGCTGATGTTCAGGTGTATATCAGTATACATGTCTCTACTTTAAAGAGTCCTCTGCTGCTGATGTTCAGGTGTATATCAGTATGTAGTGTCTCTACTTTAAAGAGTTCTCTCCTGCTGATGTTCAGGTGTATATCAGTATGTAGTGTCTCTACTTTAAAGAGTTCTCTCCTGCTGATGTTCAGGTGTATATCAGTATGTAGTGTCTCTACTTTAAAGAGTCCTCTCCTGCTGATGTTCAGGTGTATATCAGCATGTAGTGTCTCTACTTTAAAGAGTCTTCTCCTGCTGATGTTCAGGTGTATATCAGTATGTAGTGTCTCTACTTTAAAGAGTCCTCTCCTGCTGATGTTCAGGTGTATATCAGTATGTAGTGTCTCTACTTTAAAGAGTCCTCTCCTGCTGATGTTCAGGTGTATATCAGTATGTAGTGTCTCTACTTTAAAGAGTCCTCTCCTGCTGATGTTCAGGTGTATATCAGTATGTAGTGTCTCTACTTTAAAGAGTCCTCTCCTGCTGATGTTCAGGTGTATATCAGTATGTAGTGTCTCTACTTTAAAGAGTCCTCTCCTGCTGATGTTCAGGTGTATATCAGTATGTAGTGTCTCTACTTTAAAGAGTCCTCTCCTGCTGATGTTCAGGTGTATATCAGTATGTAGTGTCTCTACTTTAAAGAGTCCTCTCCTGCTGATGTTCAGGTGTATATCAGTATGTAGTGTCTCTACTTTAAAGAGTCCTCTCCTGCTGATTTTCAGGTGTATATCAGTATGTAGTGTCTCTGCTTTAAAGAGTCCTCTCCTGCTGATGTTCAGGTGTATATCAGTATGTATTGTCCCTACTTTAAAGAGTCCTCTCCTGCTGATGTTCAGGTGTATATCAGTATGTAGTGTCTCTACTTTAAAGAGTCCTCTCCTGCTGATGTTCAGGTGTATATCAGTATGTAGTGTCTCTACTTTAAAGAGTCCTCTCCTGCTGATGTTCAGGTGTATATCAGTATGTAGTGTCTCTACTTTAAAGAGTCCTCTCCTGCTGATGTTCAGGTGTGTATCAGTATGTAGTGTCTCTACTTTAAAGAGTCCTCTCCTGCTGATGTTCAGGTGTATATCAGTATGTAGTGTCTCTACTTTAAAGAGTCCTCTCCTCTGATGTTCAGGTGTATATCAGTATGTAGTGTCTCTACTTTAAAGAGTCCTCTCCTGCTGATGTTCAGGTGTATATCAGTGTGTAGTGTCTCTACTTTAAAGAGTTATCTCCTGCTGATGTTCAGGTGTATATCAGTATGTAGTGTCTCTACTTTAAAGAGTCATCTCCTGCTGATGTTCAGGTGTATATCAGTATGTAGTGTCTCTACTTTAAAGAGTCCTCTCCTGCTGATGTTCAGGTGTATATCAGTATGTAGTGTCTCTACTTTAAAGAGTGCTCTCCTGCTGATGTTCAGGTGTATATCAGTATGTAGTGTCTCTTCTTTAAAGAGTCCTCTCCTGCTGATGTTCAGGTGTATCAGTATGTAGTGTCTCTACTTTAAAGAGTCCTCTCCTGATGATGTTCAGGTGTATATCAGTATGTAGTGTCTCTACTTTAAAGAGTCCTCTCCTGCTGATGTTCAGGTGTATATCAGTATGTAGTGTCTATACTTTAAAGAGTCCTCTCCTGCTGATGTTCAGGTGTATCAGTATGTAGTGTCTCTACTTTAAAGAGTCCTCTCCTGCTGATGTTCAGGTGTATATCAGTATGTATTGTCCCTACTTTAAAGAGTCCTCCTTTGGTTTCATTTCTTCTTCAACATTCAGCAGACGGCACTTCTTTTGTTTTTGTGTT